AAGAGTGTTGAGAATTGGACCTTTTTAGGGACCTGTTGGAAAAAAAGAAGATATTGAATAAATATAAGGGTTTATTTGTAAAACATTATAATACCGTATTTAAGCCCTTGTTAAGAATGTATAGATTAGATTTTGATCAAATTCTTCTTTTTTTTTTTTTGCTACATTTCTCTAACAAAAGGGAGCAAAAAGTTTACACCAAAAGCAGGACACAAATTAAACAAAGAAACATATGAAATCTAAAAAGCTTTGCAAAAGCACAAGGGGAGTTATATCATTCAATTATAACATGATGAAAATGTAAAATAACTCTAACATGTGATTCAACAGATAGAAATCAAGGGATTAAACATTTATTTACTTATACATACCATGAAGTACAAGAAAGGAAAGAGGGATGATATTGGCAAAGCTGCAATGAAAAAAGTAACAATTTCAGAATTAGCTTGCAGGAAAAAAAGAAAGGAACATTACATGGTAAAAATGTGTCAGATACCATGAAAATAGAAGACGGTCAAAGAAATAAAATATAAATACAGCCTAATGCAGAAGCAGGTCTGATGGCAATAACATCCCAGTATTGAAATGGCTTTTGGGGACAAGTTCAATTCAAAAGGATAACCTGATTCCAGAACCAGATTAAGGAGAAAGAAAACCGTTAAAAAAACTCAAAAGCTTTCTTTATTGGAGATGGGCGGAATGCCCACCACTGAAATTTTTTTTCCCCCCTTGATCAGATATATTGCTTTTAATAGTTTTGACTCTAAATAAATATATTTTACCAATTGAGGATTTTCCTATTTCATGTTTCACTCATATTTTATAAATCCAACATAGCAAAATCAAATGATCCATCTGTCTTAGACGGTTGAAATCCACCCATCTCCATGAGCCAAACAACCAGTCCAACCTCTCTGATACGTCTTTCACTCATGCCAGTGGCAAGTAGGAATCTTCCTCCTGTACACAAGTAAGCATATTTTTTCGTACCCATAATGTGAGTCTCTCCTTGCGAGCTTTCTTTTCACGAGAAGCTCTCCCTAACTTTCTTCTTGCATGTTGTTGGACTATGCCAATCAAACCACCAACCCACCATTTGCCACTTCAGCTTGCATCATTGTCTAGCCACGGACAAACTCACTGCCACCTCTAACCATCTATCTGAGTATATAAATTTTATTTAATTAAATCCATATTAATAATTTATTATTGTGATGTTTTTTTTAGTAATTGGATCCGATATGGACATTGCTGGGCTTCTTTTTCTTTAGATGAATGTTCTACCTCTCTTTTAGGGTACTTAGGGTCCATTTGGGGGCAGCTGCAGCTGTTTTAAAATGCAGTTGTGAAGTTGTTGCACAAAAAACTGTTTCAGAAAGCTACTATTAGTGGCGCAGTATGTCGATCTGGAAAATTCAACTTCGAATCCGATGTGTCTTAGTTCCTTTTCAAAAAAGACTGAAATATCATCATCATATGTGTTAGCAATAAATCCATCGAGTCTTATAATAAATTTCAAACAAAATAACATAAATGGCTTTAAAAAGTTTATAAATAGTTAAGAATACAATTTTTCTACATAAAATAATATAAAAATTATAATTATAATATTAACCAAGTTGAATGTTAACATAATATGAAATAACACCCAAAAAAAAATGATCTTCCCCAAACTGAAACACAGTCAATTTCAACAATCATGGAAATATCAATTCATTCAAGCAAGCAAAAAGAAAAATATACTAATATTTTGTAAATATACAAGAATCACAGGCAAGAGATGATAAAAGCTGAGATCTGAATAATATTGACATGAAGAGATGCTCCTCAAATAGAAAAACTACGTTTGGCTTTTTGAGCTTTTGATTTTGTTTTCTATTGATTGCCATCAGATTAATGAGTAAGGTTTATATTCAGTGCTATAGTTTTGTTAACCAAAACAAATAGATTGTAGGGCACTTAAATCTTATATTCAGTGCCAAAATGAATACATTCCAGTCGCACATCTATTTACAGCAGACGAAACAACAAGATAAATCAGTTACTCCCTTCTCCAGTTCCTCTAGATCGAGCCTTTGCATTCCACCGACTCACCCATTGTCTGCGAATCATATAAAAATCTAAAAAGCCAGAGCTAAAAGCAACCCAGCCAATCTACCTGAGCAAAACAAGGCCCAAAATTGCAATCTAGAGTTCCAATAAAGTCAACTCTCAGAAAATGTCTTACCAAGAGAAAGAAATCAACAAAATGTATAGAGATTTCTCAACGTCTAGATCACAAATTGCTGAAGGAGATGACGATACAGCAGCTCGTCGAGCGAGGTTGAGGGCTTTTAGACCTTGGATGCTAGCTGCGAGCTCAACTGAGTGATCGATAAGCGCATATCATGCTTCGAGGTGAGAGCGCGAGCAGCCAAATGGGAACAGGATAATTTGGGTGGCGGTAACTGTTTGGGACAACTTTCTGTCTGATTTGCTGTTCAGGCCGGCACCATAGTTCTATTTAGGGAACTGTTTTCTTACTGCTTTTTAGAAATTTTTGTGGTAGAAAGATATTTTTCAGCCTAAGGCATTGATTGAATACACGGTAGAGTCTCATTCCAATCCCGAGAATACCGAAAAAATGTGATGCATTTGTTTGCCACAGAAATGTCGTCAGACGTGCTTCGAAAATACCGGTATTTTAATGTCATTTCACATCGCAAAGGAATCAATGCTTCAGGCCTCCGTTCAGCGCTTCACAGATTAAAAAGTCCAAAATAATCACATGCTTTCATCAGCAATGGGCAATTTTTTTGTTGCCCTCATCACAGCTCGCCATCCCAATGTCATTGACATCCTCCATGAGCCACGGCCTTATAGAATCAATAATCAGCGACAACCTCAGATCGACTTGCTCTAATCCCAATAGTATCCCTCTCAAAGTTTACTGTGGCTTCAACCCGACTATAGAAAGCTTGCATCTAGGTAACCTAATCGGAATAATTGTGTTGCATTGGTTTCGACAATGTGGCCAAAAGACCATTGCGCTTACTAGCGGTGCCACCTTAGGGAAAACTTAGAGAGGCCAGAATTGGGCAGGATATTTTTGTCCTTTTATCTTATAAAAAGCTACCAACAATTTTTTTTATTCAAACCAACTTTTGACTTCAATAAAAAGCTCATTTATTTGGTTTCCGTTTTAAAGTCATGTATAACAACACTTTTTCCCAGGGTAAAGTGGATTCAAATAAAGTCTGAGTTGTTAAAGTGTGATGGCAACCAAAAAGCTGCGTTCTGACTTTTTGAAAATAAAATAAAATTGTAGTAGTCACCGCAACTTTTTAAAAACAATTTCTCTGCAGCAACTTCACAGTTGTTTCTTCAAACATTTACAACTGCCTCAAACATGTCCTAAGTCAAACCGCAAAACACAGCATAAGCAGCATAAGGAGTTTGGTTCCCAAAAAAGCGGCTTTTCGTGAAAATTTTTTGCAACCACGGGTGTGAATTTAGGAAACAAATGCAACAGCGTTATATTCCCTAACATAACAAAGCTGAATCCTGCCTTAATCCATGACAAATGTAGAGGAAAATCAAGTACCTAGTTTGAAAGCTTGACAAATAGTGTTATAACTTGATGTATCTTTAATTAAATTTAAGGAAATTATAAGAAAATAAAAATTTCTCTTAGCTTTGACTATTGCTCGCACCACTAGATGATAAGGTAGATAAAAGGTGAGAGTATCCAATAATTTATAGGCTTATTATATTAGCAATAATTTTATTCGTTGCCATAGTTACATTAAAGCAAGCACTTTCTGCAACGAGTATTATCAAATATCAACTACTTTATAGCAAAAGCAATGAATGGCCCATAAAAGCCTAGTAATTTACATTGAGAAAAAAAAAAATTGAAATGATTTTTACTGAAATTATACAAAATTACTAAACAATACAACATAGGTTGAGAAATTTATTATCATTATTCAATTTATTGATCATATTATAATTTATGGAATACAAGACTATCTGTTAAATTATGTATTATTAATTTTGTTCATTTTTTAATATTAATTTATTTATATAATAAGTTTGTCCACCCTTATAGGAGGGATAGTTTCGCCCCCTGATTGGAGTGATAGAAAATGTTCATAAGCAAAAAAAAAAACACGGTTTCTGTGATAGTTGTCATTACCATCACCACAATAATTCTATTTAATTTTGTAGGCTTTAGGAACAGAGCAGGATAGTATTATTGTTATTAAAAGGGATATAAAAATAGGATGCAATAATTCTAAAATAGGAAAAATATAATACCCAAATCTTTCCCTAATAACTACTCAATGATAAAAAGAAAGTATCTCTCCCTAATAACTACTTCACGATAAAAGAAAAGTCATAAACTAGAAAATACAACAAATAGGAAATAACTGGAAATAAAACTAAATAATTTCTAACACTCCCCCTCAAGTTGAAAAATAGATGTCAATCATGTTTAACTTGGATTTGAAATCGTCAAACAACGGCCGAGTAAAAATCTTTGTGAGAACATCTGTAATTTGGCCTGTATATGAGAAAAAGAACACAAATTTCTCCTGAATCAAGCTTCTTCTTAATAAAGTGACGGACAATCTCCACATGTCTTGTACGACCATATTGAACTGGATTATGGGCAAAGTTGATGATGGCTTTATTGTCACAAAATAACTGCAAAGGAACGAAGACAGACATTTGTAACTCAGGGAGCATGATGCGCAGCCAGAGGGCTTCACATACCCCTAATGACAGAACAAAACTCGGCTTCAGCACTACTACAGGCAATCACTAACTATTTTTTAACTTTTACACGTGACAAGATTTCCCTATACAAAAAAGTAATAACCCAAGGTAGATCGTTGATCATAATCAACATCTGTATAAACTGCAATAAAGTGACAGATGTGATGAGAGAACAATAAACTGAGCTTGGTGTGTATTTTAAGTAGTGAAGGATCTCATTGAAAATGGCGAGATGGTGCTCATAGAAATCATGCATGAGCTGACTGACAAGACCAACAACATGACAAATGTCCAGGTGTGTATGGGCTAAATAAATGAGTTTCCTTACTAGGCATTGGTAGTGTATCTTGTTCACCAGAACGACATTGGAAACGTCTGTCAATTTCTCATTGATATCATCGGAACAGCAACCGGTTTACAAAGAGGTAGCTTTGTCTCAGTCAGTAAATTTGTCACATATTTGCGCTGGGAAAGGCTAATGTCCAAAGAAGACCGAGTTACTTCCATACCTAGAAAATATCAGACAGAACCCAGGTCCTTCATCGCGGCCAAGATGCCTTTGAAAGATTCTAAGGCCGGCATATCATTACATGTGAGTACGATGTCATTGATATAAACGATGAGGATGGCAAAATAATCATTAGATGAGTG